AAATAATGCGTAGCTCCAGTATCAATAATCGCAATCAAGGTATGTCATTAATAAAACATGTACCTTTAATCAGTCGATCATCTGGCTTAGTCTCTGACCCAGATAATGCAAACACTTTACCACCAGCTTGTTCCTTCTTGGGTTTTGTACACTGAGGACGAGTATGACCTTCTTCACCACAGTTGTAACAAGTTACCCTTATGACTCTGCACTCAGCAGCTACATGACCAAACTTCCCACAATTGTCACACTTCTTTGCATCATTCTTGCACTCATTAGCTTTATGCCCCCTTTCACCACATCTCTAACACTTAATGGAAGAACCAGAGTCTCCCCCACTAGGCTTCCTCCAACCACCAGATTTCTGATTATTTCTATCATAAGGCTTACCACGATCCATCTGTTGCTTACCCTTCCTATCGACATGCCCTCGAGCATTCGACTTAGTGCTAGCAAGATCCTCCTCTAAAATCCTACTACAGTCAACCAGATCAGGAAATCTTCAGATACGCTGATACCGAATACCCTGCTTAATCTCATCACGAAGACCATTCTCAAACTTGATACATTTGGAAAATTCTCCATCTGCATCGTTAGTATAATGAACATAATACTTCGCCAACTCAGTAAACTTCGAAGCATACTCACTGACAGTCTTGTTACCCTGCTTGAGTTCCAGAAACTCAATCTCCTTCTTGCCTCTGATGTCCTCAGGAAAGTACCTCTTCAGAAAAGCCCTCCTGAGCACAACCCAAGTTAACGCAATACCATCTTCTTCCATTTCAGTTCTGGTAGCAACCCACCAGTCATCGACTTCCTCTGCTAACATGTGAGTTCCGTATCTCACCTTCAGCCCTTCGGCACAGTCAATTACTCTGAAGATCCTCTCGATCTCCTTCAACCACTTCTGAGCACCTTCGGGATCATGTGCACCCTTGAACAACGGAGGATTATTCCTCTGAAAATTCCCCAATTGTCGGTCAGCACCAATCACAGCTTCCTGCTGGTTCCCTCCTAGTACTCCAGCCAACATTCCCAATGCTTCAGCAAGAGCATCATCGTTTCTTCTGTTACCTCTTCCGGCCATTGTTCTGTAACATTACAAAACAACCTCATCAGCACACAAGTATCGACAGTGTCCTCTCACACTAGTCGCATACAAAAGGGATAACAACACAAGACAAGACCGACTATGCTCTGATACCACTGTTGTAACACCCCTTCTAAATAACCCGCAAATATATTAATTAAATCAGAGTAACATGGAAAACAGGGATATCACAATTCAGGATAATTATAAAACCTCAAATTTACAGTTGTCATGCTTTACTGAAGGAATTATTATTATAAATATTTAAATCATCATCATATTCTACACAGCGGAAATATCTCAAAACCGAAATAACTTCACTTCATAAGTATTCCCAACATAAATTAAACAATAAAAAATAAAACTCGTCATTCAAACGTTTCCCCCAGTGTTACAACTTATCAGAGCACGACACTGACACGCAGACTAAAATAACATAGCTCTAGAGCCATCCTCACCAACTCCTGAGCTGCTAACTTTAATCTGAAATCATTAAAGTAAGGGTGAGATTTCTCATAATTAACATGCATTATAAGTTTCTCAATCAACATTATATCACAAGCATATTATTTCACCCATTTTAGCATAAACTCAGATTCAACACACAGTTCCAATCATACAAGTTATTATACACAATTCAAGAATCAACCAAAGAATTGTAACACTGGAAGACATCCTAACATGTTACAATTCCATGCAAACACAAATGCAGACACAATGCATGTGGTACCAACACGTGACCAAGTCACCCATCACTGACCCATCACACTCGGATACAACAACCATCGATTCGTCCATCACACTCGGACATGAATCCAGCCGAAGCAATCATCGATTCGTCCATCACACCCGGACATGAATCCAACCTAACCACCCATCATCTCTCGGGTATCGGTTAACGGCAATACAAGTCAAATTCCACACAATGAGAATTAACTTCACCAAAATAATGCATATGCATGTACATCACTAACATGCAACATCAATCAACAGAAGTATGATCACGACATAATTCCAAATAACGCCAAAGCCAATATATCACATGATCACATCACAATGGATAGCAGGCACAACGCATAAGTATCAGTTCTCATTCACCAAAGTTTACGAAAATCAGAAATTCGACTCTTTTTAAAATAATTTTCATAAAATAATATTTTTCTCATTTTATAAGATAGAGTATTTAATTTAAGAAATAACGTCCAAAACGGCACTCAAAACGGACTTACGGTTTGAAAGTTATGAATTTTCAAAGTTTAGTATTTTTCAAAAAGTTACAGCAGAACCCGGTTCCTACACATACAGGAACCGGTTCCTGCGAAGTTCAGAAACCACCCATTCTGGAAAATGTACTGGAACTCGGTTCCTACCCATACAGGAACCGGTTCTTACGTTGAAAAAGTCAGTTTCTTCATAAATTTACACTGGGAACCCGGTTCCTCCCCACTGGGAACCGATTCCTGCGACCTGAAAAGTCAAAAACTGCTATTTTGACAGCATTTACTCATTCCAATCTCATCCAATTCATACCCATACGAATCCAACTCACAGAAATGTCAAAACAAGTTATAGTACATGATTCCAATGAGATTATAACACACCATAACATCATACAATTTCTCATAACCTCAAATTGAATCAAAACATAATTTCATGGGGTTGGGGTTTGAATTTCATAAATCCTAAATTGGGATTCCTAACATGCCTAATCAATTCTATTGATCCCAAAATCTATAAGGCATATTAAATAATCGAAATCACCCCTTACCTCGCGATGATCCTTCGAATTCACGGCGTTTGGCTTTTTCCTCTCTTCTCTTCTCTTCTCCAATTTCACGTACAATGAGTTTTTTCCCAAAACCCTTCTTTTCCTTTTCCTTTTTATTCTTCTTTTTCTTTTCCTTTTATTATTTGCCAAATAATAATAATAATTAGTAATTATTTTAATAGAGCTTTTTACTACACACACCTCTAATTCAACTTTACACCCCCAGTCTTCCTTTTTAATTCCATAATTAATTCCTTCATTTAATCCAAAAAATTATAAATTAAGCCTTTAATTAATTTAATAATTAAATTCCTAATTATTTAACAATTGAATTAATTTGGGGTGTCACATTTCTCGCACCTTCACACCTTTGATTTTAATTGATTTTGAAAGAGATTTTAAATATGTGGTTTCTGGATAGGCAATCTTCCTTAACTGCTCTTTGATGTGCAATTTCATAGTATCACCAGCTTTAGAAAATCTTTCTTGAATTATTTCCCACTCGGTCATGATAGTTATACATGTTTTACCAGCCTCCGTCAAGCATCATCATCAAACTGGAGTATTTTCCAGTGACTGTAGATTTCATCCATACGTGTCAGAGAATCAAGCTTCATCTTTTTTGAAATGAGACAAACACATGAAAGATCGTAAGTCTTCCTAAGAGTACATCCACACTTAGAACTATTTGAACCTGTCTTTTCTGCTCGCTTCACTTTGTGAAAAATGAAATTCAATCCCGTCTGAGATACATTGTCAACCAACTGCGAATATAGGGTGTTGTCTTTGAATCTGAGTGAATACACCGTAATGCACTGATAAAAAATTATTTGCATTTCATTATATTAATTTTGGAACATTTGATGCACGACGTCTCACTCTCTACAAAAACCACCCTTACTATCAATCAATCATTTCTTCAATACCAAATGTGTATATTCGACTCTGTTAGTTGTTGTGTTTTCGAGGTGTCTAACCTGATCAGTCCAAACACAAACAATCTTTTTCTTCACTTGGTCCAAAATAGTACTGACGTATTTCAAGAAACCTGGATATCTGGAACAGACACTCTTAAAATGCATTACAAAGGCAACATACAAGTTTAATATATCAGTTCATGTATCCATTATCTTTTCCAATAGCACACTAGATTTGACCTTTTTCCGTCTTCACCCTTGATTTGTTTGGTGCCCACCGCGGGTTTGAGTCGACTTTTCACATTTTTTGTTATGTCATATCGACAAAGTAATACGTAAGATGTAGGAAACACTTTTGCCACTGAATTCATCAGTGCAGTGTCTCGATCTGTGACAATTACCTTCAGCATATTTTCTTGGTCCTTCAATAAGGTCTTGTACATTCCCAACGCCCATGTAACATTGTCCTCTTTTTTCGGATTCCAAAAATGCAAATCCCACTGAAAAAGTCTTCTCTGTAGATGTAACACCAACAATTCCCAAAAACGGATTGCAATGCATGATTATTGTCACACCCCATATTTATCCTACCATTTCACTTTCATCTAGCTTATGCATATTGCACTTATCATGTACATACCTTCCATTAGATCATATAATAAATCATGCATCATCAATAAATTTGTTATATGATCAAAGATTTTGAGAAATTAGGATTTATCTATGTTTTAAGACTTTCACTTCACTCAGGCTTGAATCAACTAATTTTTATTAACTTTGGATTATGGAATTAGGGTTTTAGTTCAAGGTCACTGGAGAGTTCTTTCTCATCCTATTACAAAACTATTCTTCATCAAGATTCATCAAGACCAAGTAACAAGCTTGGTATGGCTTAGAAGATGGAATGGAAGGTGGGGTTCCTTTAAAAGATGAAAATTGATTTAGGTGTATTGTTTGGATAATATTCATTCAAATGACTACTTAAAGTCATGAGTTCAAATTTGTATTCAAATTATCAAGTGGATCAAAGTTGTTTAAAGCTTGCAAGATTGGAAAGTTTGTGTATGATGATTTCTTGGAACACAAGTCACAAATGCAAAGAGCAAAGGTTTTAAAGCATGTCCATTCAAGATTCGAGTCATTCATGAATACTGAAATTCAAATAAATGAAAGCCTACATCATACATCATTCAATCATAAGTTCCAATTTAAGACAAGCCAGTTCATGCATCACAATTCAAACATTGCTTGTCACTCATCAAATTCATTCATGATCATTACAAGAATACTTCATACAAATAATCCCATTTCTATCCTGAGTTCCAAGACATGTTCATCAAGACAAGTTCATTCAGATTCTTTACAGAGAGACAAATTTAATCAAATTCCATTCAAATTCATTCAAGGTCACATACAAAGATCCTGTCACAGGCTACACTACAACAAACCACATTGAGAAAATAAGCAAGAAATGTTGGCTCATTTGACCGGCCGGTTGATTAAATCAGCAAGTCCTCCTTCAACTCACCATGTTCCAAGCCATCAAAAAACATGCACAATTCAAAGCAAGTCAGCTCATATCAAACTGACTTCAAAACATCTATCATACCAAAACATAAACCAAGCAATCCATGGTTTCAAGTACACACCATTCAAATATGCAAAAGAGTTCATGATAGCCCTGCCCGCGCTCGTTTAAATCAGAAAAAGAACTAAATTCGGATCAGCATCGAACAGGCCAGTCCATCACTTAGTGAAACAAGGAAAATAACTCACATCCAAATTAACTTCTAACAACATTAACAAATCTCAATTGACAGTTTTGACTAATTAGACAACACTCATTAGCATTTTTTTCCTAGCTAACAATTTGTTTTCCTACGAACCTGCGTATTGTCCATCAAAGCATTGCTTCACAGTCCAGAAATACCATTTCAAAATCATTTTCAAACTAAACATGAGCACCAAACCTGGCTCTGCACATACGTTACAAAAAATAACACCACATTAACCAACCAAACCATTCATTACTGTCAAAATACAATCACAAAAAAATCTGCTCCTTTCTATTTCATAACCAAATACATTAGTACGACAACCACATACACCGGTCACTTCAACTGTGCCTATCTACCCAATATCATTCAGAAAAATAATAGAACAAGTTATGAGCAGAAATAAATATACCTATAGGTCAAGCTTGCAAACACAGAATTCAGCCTATCCAAAGACAGCCTAAGACAGACCCAAAGGCAACAATCATGCAATATTTCAGAAGCGAAATATAATCAAATTCAGCCTGCATACATTCACAACATCACTGACTTTGATACCTGGTCCCAACTAATTTACTAACCATTAACGTGACTTTTTCGGTAGCGTTTATTTCTTAGCAGTTTTTACACTAACTATCCTTAAATCTCCTAACCTGCGTAAGCTTTTAACTACTAATAGTTTCTTTCCTACTAACAGTAAACCAAACCTTCATAAAGTTAACTTGCAACCAATCTCAACTTACTTAGAAATTTCCTTAACCAACTGCTAACAGATTTAGCTAAAAATTCTCAACAGCTTCAAACTTAATTCCTAACTACCTTAAACTTCATATACTAACTTCACAAATAGCTCAACATCCAATAGCTACCTAGTCCTAACATCTAACAGAAAAACCAACTACTGCCAGCTCACTCAAATAGAAATAAAAACTAACTTCTAACAATTTGCCAGTTCATCCTAACCGATTTCTAACAGAATCAACCCTCATAACTAACTTCTTCATCCCTCTAACTAATTTTCTCAATCTTCGGCTCTCTATAAAAGCCTCCTTCCATCTTCATTCAACAGAACCACCATTTGTCCCACCTTTTCTCTCAATCTTCCTCTTCTTTCTCATCATTCACCCATCTACATCCCTCACCTCTCATCATTACTCTGGTAGGTACGTCACCGTCTTTATCTTTTTTGCACTTGATTCTTGCTGACATAGTGTAGAACGAACCTTTGTGGATCCGCGGCTACACCGGTCATTCGCGGTTGGAGTTCATTTGGAAGGAGATGTGGATGAGGCACCGAAACAATGATCGACGAAGAGATGAAGCGCTGTGTTTGATTGACGCGAAACCGGAACGAAGAGAATGTCGAAACGGAATCGATCGGAAGAGACGGCGAGGAGAAGGAGGCTTGCGGCACAGTCGTGAGGGAGAAGGAAGAAGCTGTTCGAAGAAGGTCAACCGCCACAAATGTGAACCCTAGCGTAAAATCCAAACGACACTGTGTTCCTTCTTCTTCTCAAATTTCTTTTAGTATTTTTTAATTCATTTTTTCATTTTATTTTAGTTTAATAGCAATGAGTATAATATATTGAACAAATAAAATGCTTTGGATGTTGGGCCTGGACCGCATTACACCCTTGTTAGAGGCCTGAACACATTGAGCTGGTACAAAAACTCTTCCTGGATCAAGCTTGCTGGGCCTACGCCCTTTCCACCTATACACCCTTGGAATCATTTCTACTCCCCTCTGTTTGTTAGTACTTTTCTCTTTTTCTTTGTAATTTTATCTTAGTTTTCAATACAACTTTAGCATGATTTTCCTTCCTTTTAATTTCTTACTAATTGATATGAAATATGGGGTTACTACTCTTGTTTTCAGGATATTTTCTTCCATACTTTTGTTCATAAAATGCTGTGAAAAATGTCCATGAAATGTGTTTCATTTTCTTTAGATCTTCGTGTAGAATCTTTAAGATTTTTAAAAATCTTTTAGAAATTATTTGGATTTTTTTATTAGTTTTTCTCATATTTTGTAATCATTTTCGTTCATGTTTTGCCATGATCTTTGATAGAATTTTAGCACCAATTTTGTGTGATAATTTTTGTGTAATATTGTTAAATAAAAAAGACTTGGTTGAAAAGTTTCAAGAGGTCTTTGAGCACACTAAGAATACAATATTCATCAAGGAAGTTTTACGTAGAGTTTTCTTATAGTTTGTGTAACTTTAAAGAGGCAACGAACCTTCTACGTTAGGTATCATTTGAATCACTTTTATCTCTCTTTCTCTCATAATATTAGGCTTTTATTGATTTCTAAAAGCATATAGCATAGTTGCATCTGAAGTACTACCTTTGTAGGCTCTGTATTCGCGTAGTTAGGGATCATTTTTCCATGATTGTTTGATACCATTTTGCTCTCGTTTTTCTTGTTTGATTGCGTGTGCTCACATGTTCCCTTGGGACTTTTTAATTCAATTTTGATCCTTGATTAAATTGAATTAATTAGACCTTATGTCTTTTAACCAAGTATGACAATAGTTAAGTAGAATTCCCATTTGATCCAAACTTTAGGACCATGATGCATGCCAACCTTAGTCATTTTCTTCTTTCTTTTGCATATTAAAACAAAAACCTCTTTTCATAGTAAAAAATTCCAAGACACATAACAGATAAAGACGCGGGTCATATGTCACGAGCCTTAAGTGGTGGGAGGTAGAATGAGGCGATGCATTCTGAACCTTATTCTTTCTATCATTCATAGTCTTTAGTATGATTCAATTCTCAAACTCTTTTCAAAATAAAAAAACACAAACAAATCAAGTGTGACACTTTTCCTTGAGGGCGTAACTTAAAACCTTTTCAAAAGAGTTCGCCACCCATAAAAACACCAACAAACCAATAATTTTAAGGTGAACTACGAGTGCCCTGATCTCTCATTACACGAAGAGAGTACGTAGGCACAAAGGTTCACAACCGCGACAGACACAATAATTTAAAACCTTCTTTTTGTTCCTTAAGCAATTCATGCATGCATTTCCTTAGCAAGTAAGCATTAGATATAACACACCATTTGATTAAAACAAAAAGAGTGGATCTCGTGGAGTACCACAGACGTGAGGGATGTTAATATCTTCCCCTTGCATAATCGACTTCCATACCCTTTCTCTTGGTCGCAAGACCATCTTATCCTTCCTCTTGGAATTTTCTCAATATTTTTCCTCCCTTCAGAATAAATAAAGTTTGGTGGCCACTGTGTTTTTTACGCGGCGCGACGATTACGTAAACCATAAATCACATTAAATTTCCATGTATCATCTGCCTTACGGTATCCGTGCAATTTAAACAGACACTCATATTTCCTTGATCCGGTGTCATCACGTTTCAACTTCTGAATCGGTGAAACATATGTGTCACTTCTCTTGTATCTCATGGTAACAAATGTTTGCCTTTGACCAAAACCATTGTCAAACCTTTAAGTTCTTGAAAGTCGTGCTTCTCTCCCCAAACTCATGATTTATCTTTGCGTGAATAAATGTAATGGGAAAAACAATCATGTATCTTTCCCCGGGGCCACTTATGAATTTGGAAATGGTTGAACGATAATAATGGGTTGGTGATTATCATTTGGGGGTCATGTCTATATATTCAATTTCTAGAGTAGTATGAGAGACCCTTAGAGTTTGGGTAGCTGAAGTTCAATCTTCCTAATATCAAATTTGCTTTGGACACTCCCACTCATGTGTTCCCTATGTACTACATCTTCTTCCAAGTACTACATCTTTTTGATGATGACCTCCAGCATGGAAGAAGTATATGAAATTATTGGTTTGTTATGTGCCTTGGTAAATTGTATTGTTGTTTTTTCGTTATTTTACTGATTGTTTATGGTTTTCTTATGGATATAATATAGTCAAAGATATCAAATAAAAAGCTAACAAGAAAAAAGAAAAGTTATTTATAAAGCTATGACCTCAAATGATGATACCATGGCCGCCAACACCAACTATTTTGTCCTTGTTGGATGTCCTTAAATTAGTTATAAAGTTGGTACTCCTAAAGTCTTCGCTTTGTATCAATGACCCTTTTTTAAACTATTCATCCTCTCGTAAAAGACAATGCATTGGTATTTGGTGCTTCTTGAGGAAATGTTTCATTTGGGACAAATCGATCTTCTACTGCCAAGTCTCCTGGTTGAACTAATCCCAACAAGAGGAATAACATCCTTATAATACTAGGTGTAAACCTTTTCTAAGATAAGAGTTTGTTGTCGGCCATATCGAAGTCATTTCCCACTTCTCCCCCAGAGCTTCGAGATTTAGAACCTGAAGCTGACATTGTCTGGATTACTGATATGAGGTTAATTGGTTTCCCGAAGGCCATCGTAGGGTGCACTCTTTATATGTAGGGTCCTTTGTCACTTTCTTAACAAATCCATGTTTTGCTTCCCTTGATGTTAAAAGAGATGTCTAAGTATAATGCCTATTTGGATGGTGCGTCCTACAACTCAAAAGTGGTTTTATCTACAAAATTTCTTCAAGGTCTAAGCTTTGAGAGCTTTTTGATATTTGTAGGAGATGCCATAGTTGAGTAGCTCGATGATCCATTTTTCTATTCTCCCTACTAAATTTTGTTTAAACAAACCTTACTTGATCGAGTGGTTGGTCCTTACTACGATGTTCTGTGCCAAAAAATAATGCCTCATTTTTCAGGTCATTGCCACAAAGGACAGAGTGATATTTTCTATCTTTTGGAACCTTAACTCCAGACCTTGCAATATCTTTCCAATGAATTATACTGGCTTCTAGGACATATCTTCTTCCTGCACCAAAAGTGCCCATACAACCTCTACGAACCTAGAGAAATAAGTGAAGAGATATTTTCTTGCCTTGGGCCTTATTAAAGTAGGAGATTGAGACAACACCTCTTTAAGCTTAGTGAACACGAACTCACATTCAGTAATGAGATGATGAAAGAGGCGAAATGTTGTTACCGTTTTGTTTCACCAAAATCATTCAGAGCAGGGATTCGCTTGAGAGAGAAGGAGAATTGTGCATTTGTTGTTACAGAAGCATGAGAGATCGAAAATCTAGAAAAGTTGTTGTTGAGAAGTTTAGCGAATGAAAGGGAAAGAGTCGGTCAAGAGAGGATGATCGTGAGATTAAAGAGGGAAGAGGATAACATTTTTTCTTCTTTCTGTTTTAATCGTGTTATTGGGAAGTCAAAGAAAATTTGAATTTTGACCCCTTCCCAAAGATCCACGACGCCTCTTCCTCTTCAATTAGGGTTTAAAAAAAAACCTCTCTATTCCCTCTAAAGTGGATCCGGGTTTGGGCTTGAATTCTTAGCCCAACCCATTTGTTAGTTTTAACTTTTTATAGTTTTTGATTAAATGTATATAACGAATGAACAACTTGGTGAAGTGGTTGGGGTGTTAGTCGGGTATGCTTGAGGTCTTGGGTTCGAGACCCATTGAGACACTTTTATCATTATTCTACTTTTTATTCCTTTTTAACTCAAACTCTTTTTATTTTGACTAAGGTGTGTGTATAACAGAAAAGTGAGCATGATTTAGTGGTAAGACAGCTTTGTTATAACCCATATTTATCACAAAGGACTTGAACTCAGCTTTGTTACCATAAAATATATTACCACAAAAAATATTAGATAGGGTTTATAACTAATTCTTTCTTGTCCTCTTTAAAAAAATACCAAAAATATATATTTGTATAATTTTATCTTTCTTTATTTTATTTAATTTTTGATTGTTAATTGTTTAGTTATTTAATTTCTATTTATCGATCATTTAGTCTTTATATTTTGTTTGTGTCTAACTCCAAAGTAAAAAATCTAATTCATTGACTTCATGTCATCGAATATATTTAATATGGTTGTGCGAAAACCCCTTTGTATATTTTTTTAGTTTTATTAATCTAAAGATAAATCTCTTCTAAATCCTAATTTAAAAAAACTCACACCTCTTTTAAGCCAAAAACTTTGACACTAGGTCGTTGCATTTTCAAAATCCCATCCCCACACTCATTTAGCAAGCAAATCAATTTTAACCAAAAAACAGATATTTCAAAAGATTCCTATAGGATACTATAGATACATAGGATACTTGTGACACCCCAAATTAATTCAAGTGTTAAATAATTAGGAATTTAATTATTAAATTAATTAAAGGCTTAATTAATAATATTTTGGATTAAATGGATGAATTAATTATGAAATTTAAAAAGGAAGACCGGGGGTGTAAGGTTGAATTAGAGGTGTGTGAAGTAAAAAGCCCTACTAAATAATAACTAATTTATTACTATTATTTAGCAAATAATAAAAGGAAAAGAAAAGGAAGGTTATTGGGAGAAAGTCATTGTACGTGAAATTGGAGAAGAGAAGAGAAGAGAGGAAAAGGCCAAACACCGTGAATTCAAAGAATCATCGCAAGGTAAGGGATGATTTCAATTATTTAATATGCCTTATAGATTTTGGGATCAATAGAATTGATTAAGCATGTTAGGAATCTCAATTTAGGCTTTTATAGGTTTGTAGAATTTATCCCTAATGTTGTCAAATTATTGGAATTGAACCAATTGCATGATATAGGATTGTTAGAAATGGTTGAATTGTGTTATTTGACATTATGTTGATGTTACTTGGGTGATTCTGGTGTTAATTGATGTGGTCATTCGTATGGGAATGAAAAGGAATGGATTGAGATACATGATGCTGTCAAAA